CACACCTCAACTGCCCCCTACCCCAACTGCCCCCACCGCAACTTCCATCCACTCCAACTGCCTCCCCACTCCAACTGCCCCATACCCCAACTAACCCACACTCCAACTGCCCCCCCAAGAGGTTCTGATTCACTAACAGACATGACCTTAATTTTTTCTGACAACCAAGTAAGAAGCTTTGACTAACTGAACAAAAATTTTAAACCAAATAGTCAAAAGGCACAGATAGTGATCTGAAAGCCACCCTGCTTGCTCTGGGTTTCAGACTCCTGCAGGTTTGAGTCTACCTGACGTTGTAACAGCAAAAGGCACAGGTAGTGATCTGAAAGAGCCACCCTGCTTGCTCTGGGTTTCAGACTCCTACAGGTTTGAGTCTACCTGACGTTGCAACAGGACCCTGTAGAATACAAAGCATTGGACATCTGCCCACCGGTCCTTGCTCCCATTCAAATCGCCCTGCAGGACTCCTCTATGAATTCCCTCCACTCGATCAAACTCCACAAAAGACACATGAGGCTTGTTGGAAGGATAGCAGAGGTCAGGAAGTGGGGGATTTATAAAGGGCTGCATTCCAATGATCTCAATCAACTGTGTATATACATCCATGCATCCAATAACTGAAGGTTTTCTAGACACTTAGTGCCTCCCGGGAGCAAAGCCACGGTGAACTTTCATTTGCCTTTAAGATTCATCCCCCGTCTCTCCCTCCACTTCCCTCCTTACCCTGCCATCTCATCTCCACAATATTCCTCGGATCTGTGTTCACTCACACAAACTACTCTTCAGGAAGATAACTCTTCCATGAATTCTCCCCTGTATTTTCTTAACTTCCCTCATGCATGGGACCCTTTTCAGGCCAACCAGTTACTAAGAAACCAGACATTAAGGAGAAAAAAGGAGAGGTTAAAACCCCTCCCATTCCAGCTCCCCCCATGAGATGTTCAGATTTTCCGATGTTTTCTTATTAACATTGAAATCATATTACACAAATCATAGCCCCTGATTCCCCCTTTCCTGTAAGACCTACAGAGACTTACATAACCTCATTGTGCCTTCGTTTCTCCAGGTGTGAAATTGATGTATAAGGTGCCTAGAATTGCAACTTGTATTTAGTGAATGGCAAGTGTTACCATTATTTCCTGTGAAGTAGACACATGTCAAGGAAAAATACTTCCTAATATTCCTCAGGAGAGAGTCCCTGCCTTTGAAGGAAAGGTCATTTTGTCAGTTGTCATAGTGCTGGATTGACACTGTCTGTCCCCTAATCCTGCCTACCCTGCAACACACTGAGAAACTCTCAGCTGTTCCTGCCTCACCTGATCAGGACTGAGATACAAGATCCACCAGCATCCGGGTGCTCATTTGCTATCTGCAGGGAAAGAACACAAGTCCCTGGTTCTCCTAGAGCCAATGGAAAGTTCCTTAAGATCATCATGAGCGCCTGTGAGTCACACCAAAGACTTCAGAGTTTAGTCCACTGCAAGAGGACATGATGGTCAAATTTCCATTTCAGAAAAGAATTCTGGCATCATTTTACACAGGCACATGGGATTGGAGAGAAGAGTAAGTGGAATACATACGCCATACTGTTAAATAGTCCAGGCAAGCAATGTGGAGAGCTGGCCCCAAGCACAGAAAGATAACCCCGGTTTCCTCTGAAGTAGACGTTCTAGAACTCACACATATGAAGGAGGTGGAAGCTCTGAACTGAGACAGCTGGGTGGGGCAAAGTCACAAAGAGGAAGGAAGAAAAGGGCAGGAAGAGAAATGAGCCAAGAGTGAAAAATGAGTCAAGAACTCCTGTGTCCCAGACATTGACGCATGTCAGAATGGCAAGGGAAGGCAAGAAGAGAGGAAGAAGGTGTGAGCAGAGGGCGCTTGTATCCGCTCATGTAACCCAGTATTTATGCAGCAACTACCATGTGCCAGGTTCAATGACAGCTACAAAATATACACCCTGGAGTGAAGAGAAAGACCCTCCCTCATGGAAATGCTTCATAGAGACAAATAGGGATGGGTGACCAGTGACACACCTAAAGCAGGTAAGGGGGCTGAGAATATAAGAAATGTGGGTACCAGTTTATGGCCGTGTTTCAAGAGGGCAGGTTTTTAGAAGAGAGATTCGGGGCTGGAGAGAAGGCCCAGTGACTAAAAGCACTGGCTGCTCTTCAGAGGACCCCGATTCCATTCCCAGCACCACATGGTGGCTCAGAACCATCTATAGTTCCAGTTCCAAGTGATCTAACACCCAAAGGCCCCAGGTACATTAGATACACAGGCAAGCAAAACACCAATGTACATAACAAACAATGGCTCTCCAGTCCTCAAGGCCCTATTTAATTGTTGAAGACAACGGCATTTCTGCAAGCATCACTTTTGGCTTCTCAGCAGGACTTTGCTGTGGCCCAAGGCCAGCTCTTGCCTGATCTCCTCTGCCCCAGTGACCATGTCTCTCTTGCAAACAGCCTCACTGCTCTCAGCTTCTAAACACGTTCATGCCATTACCCAAGAACATCACTCTCCTGGAAATCTTCATGCCTTTCCCTGGGCAAGGATCTTCTCTCTTCTTTCTCTTTGTTTGTTATGACTCTCCTGAGAGGTCAGAAAAACTTCCATTCCAGGGCCGAGCTGTCTCTTTGCAGCTCCAGTTGTCAGAGCTGTCCTAAGCAGCTCAAGGTGTTGCCTGTCTGTGGTGGTATTGTGTTCCCCAAAATATTGTGTACCCTAATAAACTTATCTTGGGTCAGAGAACAGAAAAGCCACTAGATACTTAGGATAGGCAGTGATAGCACACACCTTTAATCCTAGCATTCCAGAGGCAGAAACCCATCTGATCAAGGATACAGCCAAGCATGGTGACTCACGCCTTTAATCCCAGGGAGTGATGGTAGAAAGCAGAAAGGTATATAAGGCGTGAGGACCAGAAACTAGAACCATTTGGCTGGTTAAGCTTTTAGGTTTTGAGCAGCACAGTTCAGCTGAGAGCCCTTCTGATCTGAGGACACAGAGGCATCCAGTCTGAGGAAACAAAATCAGCTGAGAAGTTGGCCAGGTGAAGTTGGCTGTGGCTTGTTCTGTCTCTCTGATCTTTCAGTGTTCACCCCAATACTTGGCCTCAGGTTTGATTTTATTAATAAGACTCTCTAAGATTCCTGCTACACCTGACTCCCCGAGTAGTCAGGATATCAAAACCTGGCACCAAACTCACAGAGTTGCAACAAATTTACTTATAAGCACCTTGAAAGTTCTTCTTTGCCAAGGCTACATCTTTGTGGTTGTTTCCACATACAGATGGTCATTCATGCCACTGATACTCTTCACTTCTGACAAATGTGTGTCCTATACCTCTGCTGTTGTACCCAAATCATATCACTCACACACACATATACACACACACACATACATACACACACATACACACATATATACATATACATGCTCACATATATACACACATTCACATATATACACAAATGTACATGGATACATGTGTATACATAGACATATACATACACACATACACAAATAAACACATCCACAAACACACACATATGAACATACGCATATACACACATATACAAATACATAGACACATACATATATACAGACACACATTATACAAATAAACATACATGCATATGCATGCACGCACACATGCATGCACGCATGTACCCCAAGCTTACTACTGAATCCTAACCCAGGGTTTGAGGCTAAGTTTAATGAGATTTGGTTTTGGTTTGCATGTTTAAGCCTTTAATGATGTTTGATACATTAACTTCCTGCCTCCTGCAGTATTTTGAAATGTCAGCTGAAGTGATTGATTTGTTCTCACCTGGCAAAGAGTTGCTGGAGAATCACCACAGAATACACACAGCTGAAGGGAAAAGCAAGGCATTCCCTTTGGAAGCAGTGTACTGTCACCATCCTATGTCCCTGCCTGGCATGCAACCTCAGCTACAGTCTGGGGCTTTCTAAATGCCATCCAGATCACAGAGTGATGCCATTGCAGACCTACAGCAGCTAGAGAAAAGAGGAAAATGCATCCACGTGCAGCCATCCCCAGTACGTGTGAGTGGGCTTGCTGAGGTTTGGGCTTGGAGTCATCTCACTAGGAATCTAAGACTGCACAGAGCTCAGGTTCACGGTACCACATGAATGAGCTGTGGAGACCTAACTGGCTGATCCAACTCCCAGCCTTACCACCTACCAGCAGATGACCCTGGTTCACTTTTTTATTAGTAAATTTTGCTCTTTCACACATTAATACTATGTAATTTGATCACATTCCCCCATCCTCTCCCATTTCCCTCCTGTACCTACCAGCAACACCCTACTCAATAAATCTTTCTCATTTACTAGTTTGGGTTTTTGTTTAGTATCCCACAGAGTTTAATCAGGGACATATGCGTGACCCCGAGTTTGGAATTAACCATCAGAGCCTGGTGAACTTCGCAAGGGGTACACAACTGGACACCATGCTTCGCCCTCTCCAACAGATCAGCAACATGTGGCATGGTCCTGGAGTCCCTTGCCCCTCCCTAGCCCAACTTCTGTGAAGCCAGTGCCAGTCTGCACAGCTGCTGTGAGTTCCTGCTTACCATATCTGTGTCCTGCCTAGAAGATGGTACCTTGAAGACTTTCTCTCCATCCCTGGGTCTTACATTCCTCCCACCTCTCTTCCAATACATTCCATGAGCCTTAAGGGGTGGTGGAGACGTTCTGTCTGGGGCTAAGCCCTCAGCCACCCACTACGCTCAGCCTGTTGCACAGTTGTGTGCCTTTGCACTTAGCCCTGCTTACTGCGGAAAGAGGTTTCTCAGTGTGCTACAGAGCGGCCTCTGGCTGTACAAACAATATTTAGACGGTGGCTTGATGCTGCATCAATTTAGCTAAGCAGCCATCTTACGTTCCCACCTCTTCAGTTCCTCAGTTTACTCATTTGGTCTAACTTTATAGTTTTATAGGGGATAATTGACCTTGCACAATCAAGTATCACAACATGCCTGGCATGTAGCACTTAGAGCACTGCTGTGGTAAACCGGAGCAGCCACTGAAGAAGTAAGTATGGAGGTTCTGTTTTAAAATTTAAAATGTGAGGTTGGGGAGCACATAAGTCACTCTCTTCAGAGGACTTGAGTTCAATTCCCAGCACCCATGGTAGGCTGCTCACAACCGCCTGTTACTCCAGCTCCGAAGGATCAGATACCTCTGACCTCTACCGGTTCCGGCACTCACGTGTACACACCCACACACAGACACACACAGAGACACAAAATTCAGATACTAAATAAAAATACCTTTAAGAATTAAAAACTGGAGCCGGGCGGTGGTGGCGCACGCCTTTAATCCCAGCACTCGGGAGGCAGAGGCAGGCGGATCTCTGTGAGTTCGAGGCCAGCCT